CACGGCGTGCTGCGGGGAAAAGCCTGCTCTAACGTTTGAGTCTAAGGTTTATTTTTTAGCACCTGACGGCTCTTTTTTACTTCTCATCCGTAAATAATCTGCTCTTTCACATGATTCAGTTTATTTTGAAAAGTCTCAACAGGATCTTGAGCTTTATTGTGAAAGGTTTATGTAGAAAATAAACACGCAGACACGCGATGGTGTTACCGTTGTTGTAGAAAGAAATTAAGAAAGTAATATAGCCACTACAGTGACCATCAAAACATGAACAAATATTGCCGTAAACAGTTTATTTTGCGACACCACAAAACAAACGATAGCGTAAAATGAAACGATAGATGTTTTTATATCGTCACCCGATATATATCGTTATATCGAACAGCCCTACATCAGATTGCCCCGATGCATCCGTGGCAGTGTGTATGACAGGTAAAAACATGGGTTGTACAAATGTGTGTGAGTGCTGTATGTTCATCACTTACATATTAAAAATACTATACTTATTAGGCCTATCACCACCTTAAGCATGAATGATGCGGTGAATACTCTTTAGAAAAGACTAGCAGTTTTCTACATCAGTAGCATTTTAACCGCACAAAGCATTTCACAACAAGCCAACAGAGTTTTGTGTGGCAGAAGTTGTGAAAAGGTGGAGCTGAAACACTACGAGAGAAAAAGAAACAAAAAATCAAATGAGCTGACATGTTAGCTGTGAGGGCTGCTGCTGCACTTTAAACAGGAGTAGCAGCAACAACAAACAGCAGCAAGCCCTCGCTCTCACAGCAGGCTGCTATTAGCACCACCTGTAGAGAAGTGGGGGGGCGTCCCAAAAAGAGTGAGGAGGTGACCGAGATAAATAGGAGGGACATAATTAGGAAGGGAGAGATTCAAGTCAAATAAATTGCTACTTTGACCACGAGTCACTCCTAGTAGCTAAAGTGTAGCTTTTAAGTGTCACATGCTGCAGTGCAGTGCAACTAAGGACCGACCCTAAAAGATCTTGGCCCTAAAAGTCTAAAAAATATGATGTCCAACCCCAGATTTCGTATTTGATAAGGTTTGTAGTCAGGCCTTGATCAGGTGACCGTGAATCCTTCTATAGTTATGTTGCAATAGCCGTAGACTGCTGCCGGCTTCACATGTTCACTCACTCTCCCCTATACCTGTTCACTTAAGTTATTCAGCAGATCAAGATAAAATACAAGTACAGCCCTCAAAGAAGCGTGCAACAACTATGGTTAGCACAAAGACACAGGCTGCACAGGCAGTTAAAAATCACAGCTTGTCAGTTTTTGTGGCTCTTTAATAACATAGGACATATGTCATTGGAAAGATTAAAAGCTCCTGAAAATCTGCATTTGTCTAACGAATAACCTGTTTGGTTTAAAAATGTGAAGTTTATGATTTCTGTATACTAATATAATTCAATTCAGTTTTAGTTATACAGCACCACATCACAACAACAGGAGCCTCAAGGTGCTTTATATATATCAGATAAGTGTAAAGCAGCAAACGTAAAACGGCAGGTACAAAAATGACTATAAAGCAAACAAGGACAAAGACATGAGCAGATAGATGCAGTGACCCTCACTGAGATACACACAGCAGTCACATTCATTTAAAGCAGAGCTGGGAAAAGGCCAGGCACTTAATTAACTCTCCTCACAGAGAGCAGGAGTGGCACTAATCTAAAAATAGATAAGGTTCAGTTAGCTAAATTATACATACCTGAAGCTCCATCTAGGTATCCCCTCCTCCTACGTCCTGCAGTGTGTATCTGAGCAGCAACACAAGCACACACTGAAGGTAAGTGTGACTGCACTCAAACATTAGACGTGAAGGAGGATAAACACCACTTTTCATGAAACAAACAGGAAAATGTGGCTTTCAAGAAAGAACTAATTTTATATTACATGGTAAAAAGTTCACACTATTTAACCTTGGAAAAGTTTTAGTGACGGGCAGCATTACTAGATAAACACATTCAACTCCAAAATC